ATGGATCTTGAGAGTATCATGCTAAGTGAAATAAATCAAATGGAAAAGGACAAGAACCATATGATTCCACTCATTTGTGGGATATAAAACAGGAAGCAACAAACAAACAACAAACCAATGAGCTCATAGACACAGACTAGAGAATGGTGGTTACCGGAAGGAACTGGGGCTAGGGAGGGAATGAGAGGGTAAAGGGGTCAAATATATGATGATGGAAGGAGACTTGACTTTGGGAGGTGAACACACAATGCAGTATACAGATGATGTTTTATAGAATTGTATTATACAGTTGAAACGTATATAATGCTATTAACCAATGTCACCCCCAATAAATGTAATTTTTTAAAAAAAGGATCTGATATTTAACCCAGTGTTTCCCAAACTTATTGACCATAGAGCTCTTTTTTTTTTTTTCCCATGTTACAAAACACTAATGTTGTAAGAAACACTCTTTAGGGAGCAGGATGTAAAGAAAAAGTTTGAAAAAATAAGATAATATTTTACTCAGCGTTTTAAAATTCCTTTCTAACTTCCCATTCAAATAATAACATGATTGATTGGTCATTTTTTGTTGTTGTTGCAGGGCTCGCTTTGAATTCCTTATCTGGGTTTGAAATCAGGATGCCTAGAAGAGTGAGCAGTGGGAAATAGGGGGCAAGTCATTGAAACAAACATTGTGCCCATTCTCTTCCAAATACAAATGTAGTTCAGTGTTTTAAAATGTAGTCATGTCAACCTCACCATTTTTAAAGATAAAACTTCTTAAAACAGTTAAAGTTTTGTGATAATATGTCTTTGGTATCTATTTCCAGTTGAAGACTAAGCTTTTATACTCCCAACACTTGCCTTCCTTTACGCTATCAGTAATTAAGTTATTTCAGTCATTTGCTATCAGCCCTGATGATTTTTTTTCCCCTCTAGTGCCTAAAGTAACAGTTGCCAAGTACATACAAATCTTGTAGAGATTGAATGTTTTTTTTTTTAAAATCTTCCAATACTTTAGATTTATAATCTCACACTTTCTTTTAGCCTGTCGTCTGCCTCTGTAGATCATTGATAGGCAACCTTTGCTGTGGGCTTTTCCAGTGTTTATAACCATTACGCCTTAATATAGTGAAGTACTAATCTCTTTTTCTCTTAAATATTTGACCTATGCCGTGTACCTTAGGTTACTTCTAATGACCTTGGAAGTGGGACAAATGTATAACAATAGGATGGTGAAGATTTTCATCCTTGTGATTCTCAGGAGACTGGGAAAAGCAGACTGTCCAGTCTTGGCTGCTTCCCAAGACAGAAGTGGAACTGGCCGGAGGGGCTGCGTGTGGCAAGGAGGGACAGGCTGCAGCGAGGCACAGAAGCTTGAGTGGACCCAGGGAGACTAGGTTGTTTTGCAGCTTTCAGTGTGAGCTCCTCCCTGCCCTGTCAGGAATCTCTGTACACTTAGGAGAAGCCTAGCGAAAGTAGACTTATTTCTTCAGGCTTGCAAAGAGATAACAGCCAAGAAAAATGGGGAAAAGAGTCTGAGAAGGCTGAAAGGAGTTAGGTGGGCATTTCATCGATATGATACAGGTCCGGAACTCTTAATACATGATGGAATTGGGGCTTTGAACCAAGTTTACCTAGAGATCCACAGCACAGTGAAGCCCCCATGTGATAGCTGTGCTACAGGTGGTTTAAGCTTGATCAGTTTACGAAATACAAAGAGAGAAATTCAGACCATAGCTTTGCTTCTGGCATCACATGACAAAAGCTATGAAGGTGTTGGAGTAACTTTGCCAAAAGCAGGCATTGGATGCTTGGATAAAGTATCTGAGCAGTAGGTTGGAATGAACTTAGACAGCTCCTCGTCTTTGTCTGAATGAATGGAAAGGTGCTAATTATCCGTGTCTTTTTTTGGAGAAGATTTAGTAGGTAGGAGAGTGGCTGAAAGAAAGACATTAGAAATACCGCATGTGTTAAAATTCATGCCAGCGATACTGTAAGTGGCAAACACACAATTTATTCAGAATATCTGCCTCCTTTTTTAGTTATGTTAACCCTTCTTTTAGTATTTGGATCATCCTGCGAACAATGGGATAGAAAACCAGGCAGCTGCTGGTAAAGCCCTGTATAGATGGAGGATGAGTTTACACTTGTCCTTGGCACATGGCAGAAGCAATCAGGGGGCCTGTGGGAGGCTCTTTTCTCCCTTTAATATATTTGTACCCAAGGAAACTTGAGCAAACCCAATTCTGACTGGATCTCAAATACCTTTTATCCTTTCACTAAGTGATAGTAGTTTAAAAAATATATTATAAAGTAGATATCCTGTGACCAGGTCTGTATTTGAAAAGCAAAAGAACACAAACATTTATGTGGAGAATAAAGTGAAAATCCATGAAAGGTTCAAGGAAATTTATTTTATTTTTAAGATTGAATGCTTTTTTGTTTCTCTTCCACTTTCGGAAATCTGGATTATAGGTAATTAAATACCTCTTTGGAAATTGGATTTAGGTATGTAGACTCTAACTTAGTTGAGCGCTCTTGCTAAAATGTGAAAGTGTCTGTGTTACAGAGTAATCATCACCAGTCACCATTTCTTGTCTCTGGTGATGCCCAGTAGGTCCTGTCACACTTGGTGCTTCAGTTGCTGAGCAGCACAGGGAGATGGGGAGGCATATCCTGAGGAAGGTGGTGGGGGGAGGGGAGGGGCAGCTTGTCCTGTACTCGCTTTATCTTAATCATTTATCCTAATAACAGTGCAATCACATGCAAAATTATTTTAAAGTAAATGACCTGTATGTTATATTTTGGGATAATCCAGTGACCTTAAAAACACCCACCTGAGGGCCGGCTGAGTGGCTCAGTTGGTTAAGAGCTCGCTCAAGAGTTTGAGCTCTGAGCAGCAGCGGTTCGAGTCCAGCCCGAGCTGAGCAGCCGTGAGCTGCCAACAGGTGGCGGGATGGCTCAGCTAAAAACAAAAAAAACAAAAAACAAACAAACAAACAAAAAAAAACCACCCACCTGTTATATAACAAGCTCTTAATAGTATTCAGTTGCCTCTCAGGAGGGGAATCTAGCGGTGGGAGGCAGATATAGTTATCATTGTGTATCTACTCTGGTAATTTTAAAAAAGTAACAGTAAAAGAAAAAAAAATCTCTCTAAACTTGCCCATCTCCTGACAGGATGCTTGGTGCTTTCCCACCCCGCCCCCCAAGGATCTTCTGTGATTTCCTAAGCACACCCTTTCCCACCCTGCCCCCCAGTTTCTTTCACTTCCCAGGAAAACAGTTTCTGAATTCCTTGACTTTTCTTCCTCATCTCTCGTCTTGTCATCCCTATCCCTTTCATGAAAGTTACTGAAGATTTCTTACCGTGAAATGCGGTAACCTCCTTTGAAACCCCGTTTGACCTTTCTGGGTCACTTGAGGCTTGCACTCTCCTCCCAGCCTCCTGGTCCATTTTGACTTCTTTCTCTCCACCTTCACACGAGCATCTCCGCTGTGATTCCACCTTTGTCCGCGCTGTGCTGTCTCCCTGAGCAATCTCTTTCACACTCTCGGGCGAAATTGTCTGTCGGCAGATTGACCTCACGCCTTAGCTCTGTTTACTGGTCCACTGGGCATGTTAGTTCTTAGTTCCATGGGCATCTCAAAATCAGAATAGCCTGGATTTATTGTCCATTCCCTCGCCATCCATTTCCTCATTGTTCCCCACTTGCTGTGTTTTAATACTTAGCAGCACCCAAGCCAGAAACCTGGGAATTGTCCTAAGTCCTTCCCCCACCTCACAAGGTTTTGGAATTACAGGTTGCCTTGCTGTAACATGCATATATTGGCTCTGTTTTTATCACAGCCTTTCATTTTTACAAATAAACTTCTAAATTGGGCAGCCTCATTCCAGATGGACTTAGGAGAAATTTCATACATATAAATGTTCTGTCCTTGTCAATGGAATTGTATTAGATATGTATAATATCGGGGGTGGGAGGGCAGTGGATGGGGGAATGGGAGGTTACTTTGTGAGGGGTGAAAAGGATAGCCATTGCATTGCTTTGTACACCTGAAACTAATAATAAAAAATAAATAAAAAATAAGAAGCCAGACCAAAAAAAAAAAAAGTTCTGTTGTTCTTAAAAGTAGCAGGCGGAGGTGGATCCTTTAATTATTCCCCTGCATTGACAATTGGTGTTTTTGAATCCACAGAAACCTTGTTCCAGGGGCATTTCTCCGTTTGAGACATGAGCTTGGTTTTTATTTGAAACTAAAGGAGCAATCATACAACTTCAGCAAGCTTGTGGTTTATTATTTCAGTACTTACGTTATATTTTGCTTGGTTTCCTATTCAGTTACTTAAAAAAAAAATAGGATCTTCTGCACAGTTAGAATTACCTCTACTATTGCCTTTGTTTCTTAGGCATTAAGTACAGATACTTAAGTAACCACTGGACTAAAATAATAGTTAAAATTTATTGTATACCTATTATATGACAATTTACACCTGTCATATCATTGAATTTAATTCACCCAGTGACTGGATGCAGAATGGAGAAAGTTAGAGTCAGACATTGTTTAATTTGCCCAGATTACACTGCTGTGAGGGAACCTCTTGAGATAAGACATCAGTTTAAATGTGACCTGGACGTCTCTGAAAGGAATACAGTTAGGAACTGGATTTATGGGCATCTCCTTTTTATGGGGAGTTGATTTGCACGTGTCTTTCCTGTTTTGGTGCCCATTTGTGACGGAAGGGTTTGTGGTACTTCAGTGCCATTGCCCTGTGGTGCGGCAGAAGTAGGTGGTGGCACGAAGATTTACATGGAGCTTATATTTTGTTATTTTAAGAACTGAAGGTTTTAAGGCAAACTTCCAAAAATAGCTACAAAAATGCAATCTTTGTTTTATGTGTTAACAATAATTTGTTTACTTGGATTTGTGGTGCCTAGAGGATGGCTCTCATCTGGAGAACATCATGGTCAATAATTCACGTTTACTCTTTTTTTTTTTCCTCTCTCTCTCAGTGCAATGAAACCTCATTCTTTTTTGAAGCTCGAAGTAAAACTGCTTGCAAGCATCTTTGGAAGTGTAGTGTAGAACATCATACATTTTTTAGGTACGTTAATGTGAAAGTTTTGTTCATTGTTCTAGTAAATGAAAGTTGCATTTGCTTTTATAATAAGAATTCTGTTCTGTCTACAAGTAGAAATTCTGAAGTGTTTCTCGTTGATTTTTTCAGACACCTAATTCTCTGGAACATAAAAATACAAATATATAGATACCCCCCCCCACACACACACACAAACACATAGGTATCTTCTTTGCTCATATTATAAGAAAGGGTGAAGGACAATTCTTTTTTGGTTTATGTAAAAAGTGAAGCTTTGGTATTGGTTGAAATTAAGTGTTCTGCTGTGGGCATACTAAATTTGAAATGCCTGTTAGCCATCTAAGTGGAGACATGGAGTAGGCAGTTGGGCGTACAAGGCTTCCTGGAAAAACCAAGGTTGGCCATGTAAGTGTACTAGATATTTAAGGCAAAGGAGACTGGACGAGGTCACCTATGGAAAAAGTGAAGGGAGAGAAGCTGAAAGCCAAAGACTGAGCTGTGGGGCCCTCGCAGCATTTCAAGAATAGGAAGATCCAGCCATGTAGTATGACAAGGAGTAACCAGGGGAGTGTGTGGGGAAATGGAAGTGAGGGAGAAATGTCGCTGAGTAGGCAGCTGGCAGCTGCCTTGCTGCTGTGCTCCTTGGCAGGTCCAGATGAGGGTAGAGAATTAACCATTGGAATGTGGGGACACTTTCTATTTGTTTCACATCCCACGGTATAAAAGTAAAACTAAATTTTATTGGGTGGTACATTAAGCTTTATCTTTTGGTGTTTTTAAATTTAGAACTAGGTTAATTCTCCCTCTTCTTCCTATTTGATTTGCATGGAAGAGTTTTTCCAGATGGCATGATGTTGGAGAAGCATCCTTATAAAATGACCAGTGTCCTTTATAGAGTTTGTGTTAGGAAAGGGATGTGGCCCAGAAAGTCTGAGACATTGCCTCCAGGTCCGTGGGGCTGGGCCCAGGACTTCCCCATGGAAGCGCCTGCTGAAGGTACCCTGGAATGGGAAATACTAGAGCACAGTGTACAAAGGAGAGTGAACCAACACATCAGATATGGCTAAATGCCATGAGAACCTTGCCATGAGTAAAGCAACATAGTGACAAAGTTCCCAGTATGATTTAGGTTGAGAAAGTAAGGTGATTCATATTTAAAGCTTCCTAGAACCATGATGTATATAATAGCCTTCAGAAAGTATGAGTATTTTGATATTATACGTATATAAAAATCTAGAGTGTGGTTGTGTTTCAAATATTAGCTTACAATAACTGATTATTATTTCCTGCCAATATGTAAAACAAGTAAAATGTTTTGGCCAGCTGTTGAAACAGTGTTGCACTATATCTTCTACATAGCATTTGCTCAAGTGTTACAGAAAGATCTGTATTTATGAGTCCTTATCTAATTTTATTTTAAAAATTAATCAGAATGCCAGAAAATGAATCAAATTCATTGTCAAGAAAACTCAGCAAGTTTGGATCCATGAGTTACAAGCACCGGTATAGGTAAGTGGCATTTTTTTGGAGGATGGGGAGTGTGTGAATAAAAAAATAGTTAATTCAGCAGTCCCCATACATGCACAGTAAAGCTTGTGATTTAATTTTTTTCTTATTTTTCCACAGTGTCAATGATTTCCGTAAACATAATGGTTTATTAAAACTTTTCTGACAAAAATGATTTTCCAAGTTGAATTATATTTAATGTCTGCATTTGCTACATTAACGTAGGACTTTTAGGATATAGTAGAGCTAACTACCCTCAGAAATTTACTTTGATGCAAATACCACTTATTTTTAATCATGTTCTGATTATGAAACAAAATGGATATTGTGAATACTAGTTGATTGGCATTCTTAGAACATTCAGTCGATCCCTATTGTAACACAAGGTATACTTAATATTATGGATCAAATCATGTTTTCTGCAGTGTAAAGCATACATGTAGTAATACTAGCAAGTATATCTAAACTTTATCGAGCATTTACCAAGTGCCATGTATTGTGCTAAATGTTTTTCTTAATATTCTTCTCATTATTATGCGAGGAAACTAAGGCTCAGAGAGGCCAAGTCATTTCTCAAGGTAACCCAGCTAGGAAGCAGTAAAGTGGGGTCTGTACCCTGGCAGTCTAACTGCAGAGCCTGGGCTTTTAACCATTAGGCAAACCATTGGCGTGTTGCAGGAAAAGCCTGCTCCCTTAGGCAGCCAGGCAGATGCTTATGCCTTTCTCTAATAACCAGCATTAAAAGTAGGAGCCGTCTATGTTTTGAAAAAGAATTTGTTTTGTTTCAATTTGTTCTGTTAAGTGGAGAGCCTGTGATTGCAAGGCATGGTTTCGGGCGCTTAGAGATAAAAAGATCCCAATCTAACCACCTCTGCCTTCAGAACAGTATCATTCAGGCATTGAAGCAGGTCCCCCGCCCTGTAAAACCCAAACATGGTTCAGAAATGCCGCTCAGGACGTGGGACACTGTTCTGTCAGCTCCATTGGAGACATCGCTGAATAAGATGCTTACCTGAGACTTAAGCATTAAAGTCCTGGGCCGGCCAAGTAGCTCAGTTGGTTAAGAGTTGACTTAAGAGGGAGAGCTGTGAACAACAGGGCCGCTGGTTCAATTCCCACATGGGCCAGTGACGCTGCGCCCAAGCTGAGCTGTCGCTGAGCTGCCAACAGGTGGCCAGGTGGCTCAGCTGGTGTAACAAGAAGATTGCCTGTTCGATGGTGGGCTACACCCACCTGCAACTAAGGCTGAACTTGGCACCTTGAGCTGAGCTGCTGACCGGATAGCTCGGTGGATAGGGCGTGCACTCTTAACAACAAGGCTGCTGGTTCGACTCCCGCATGGGATGGTGGCTATGCCCACCCGCAACTAAGATTGAACACAGCACCTTGAGCTTAGAGGCCAGGAGCTGCCGACAGGAAGCTAGATGGCGACTGGTGCCCTCCACAATGAAGATTGAAGAACAACAACTTGGCTGGTCCTCTTCCCCAACTCCCCAACACTGTTCCCCTCCCCCAGTTGCCCAATAAAAATTTTTAAAAAAAGAAAAAAGAATAAAGTCCAGTCAAATGTTGGCAGGACAATGATATGACAGATTTTAATGCCCCTCTTTTATTTTTTATTTTTTTATTTTTTTATTTTATTTATTTATTTTTATTTATTTATTTTTTTTATTTATTTATTTTTTTTTTAGCTGAGCCATCCTGCTACCTATTGGTAGCTTAGCGGCTGCTCAGCTCGGGCTGGCCTCGAACCGCTGTTGCTCAGAGCTCAAACTCTTGAGCGAGCTCTTAACCAACTGAGCCACTCGGCCGGCCCTTAATGCCCCTCTTTTATAACCCACTTTTTTTGTCTTCAATTGGAAACCAGAGATAATCAGAGTGATTAATATTAATGTTCAGTACATTAATATTTACATATTAATATTGGGTCTTTGGAAAAGTCATGACGCATGTTTGCAACATATGGTACTAGTTCATTTTTGGAAGTACTAGAGTCATTCGCATCTATGTTATTGCTATGTCATTTGACAGTTGACAGTTCTAGCTTCATTCTAAAAAGAAAAATTGAGCGATTTGGTTGAGTTTTGGAGATTTTACAAGTTGAAAATGGAAGACCAAACTGCATTTTTGCCATATTTTACTGTTTTACTTCCATGAAGGGAAGAATGTGCATCAAGCTTGTGAAAAGTTGCATAAAGTCTGTGGTGAAAAAGCTCTATAAGAATGTCAGTGCCAGAGATGGTTCACAAAATTCGTGCTGCTTATTTTGGTCTCAACGACGCTCCTCCGTCAGGGAGGCCCACCGAGGTTGATGATGACAAAATAAAGGCATTGATCGAGTCAAACCCACGTTCCCCGACACGAGAGATTGTAGAAACTTTGAACACACATCATTCAAGCATTCACAACCACCTGAAGAAGCTGGGATATGTAAGCAAGCTCGATATTTGGGTTCTGTGTGAACGCAAAGAAGTTCATTTGATGGCGCGTATAAACATCTGCAATATGCTCATTAAATGTGAGGAAAAGAATCCTTTTTTGAAACAACTGATAATTGGTGATGAGAAGTAGATTGTTTACAACAATGTGGTGTGCAAACTGTCTTGGCCCTGACGTGATGATTCACCTCAAACAACATTGAAAGCAGACATTCATCAGAGGAAGGTTATGTTGTCAGTGTGGTGGGATTTTAAAGGTGTCATGTTTTTCGAGCTCCTACCAAGGAACTAAACAATCAATTCGAATGTGTACTGTTGGCAATTGGACGGTTTGAAAGAATCCATCATCCAGAAACGTCCAGAGCTTGTTAATTGTGTGTGTGTCTATTGAGACAAGGCAAGATGACACACAAGTTTGATCACCCGTCAAAAATTATTGGAGCTTGGATGGGATGTGTTGCCACACCCACCATACTTGCCTGACCTTGCGCCATCAGACTTCCACTTGTTTGCTGTCTTCAAAATTCCTTGCGTGGTATAACATTCAATTCAGATGAGGCTGTAAATCAGCACCTTGTTCAGTTTTTCACAAATAAAGACAGATTCTTCTATGAATGAGGAATTATGAAACTCCTTGAAAGATGGCAAAAGGCTATCAAACAAAACAGGCAATATATCATTGATCTTTGTTCTTTATATAAATAAATGATCTTTGAAAAACATAGACAAAACACGTCATGACTTTCCCAGAGACCCAATATATATATAAATATCTTATATATATCTTATATATATTAATATGTTGTATTAATATATAAATATCTGATATATATCTTTATGTATTGCTCATTTGATGACTTAAGTAAAACTTAAATGTTATTGTATTATAGATGTTCTTGATATTGGCATGAAGGTATTCATTTATATTTAAACATTTAAACTTCCGGTTGTCCAGGTTCTTCCCTAGATAGTAATACAATTATCAGAAATTTAAGAAAAGAGTATTTTTATATTGTGAAGGATAGCTAATAGTTACTACTTGGGCTTTTCTCCCATTTGGGGCATAAAACATGTCAAGGGTGATAGAATGTGTAAATCTTTCTCCTTTTCACTGAAATGAAGCTGGTGAAAAGGCATCTGTCTTAATGTTCCTACTATTAAAATCGTAATTATGCTGTTTAACATATGTTGTGGTTGGTTTCTACAATTTTACTCATACCTGATTTCTCAAATTTAGTGAAATGCAAATGTTGTGTCTCCTGGGAATTATTATTAGAAAGCTATTGGATTTTGCATATTAAATATTATTTCTTCCAAGAAAGTAATTAAAGGTAACCTTTGCAGAATTGGCCTGTTAAATCTGTTCTAATTTCATTGCTGGTATTAACTGCCTCGTAAGTCTTAATGAAATGTAAATCTCCATGTCTGTATGTGGGAAGCACTAACGGTACCCCATCCCTAGAAGAAACATGTTTCATCCCACTGCCCAGAGCTAGGCGTAGTCAGGGGTGGGTCTCACTCAGATAGCTGGGTGGTTGCCAGCACATGGACTGTAAATTGTCAAAAGAGGAAAAATGACCAGCTTTTAACAACCATCGTAGGTCTGCTCCTTTCTTGAGACATTCTGTGGATCTGGTGGAATGAAAGCAGAGCTCTGGAGTCACAGAGGCCCCCCTTGACCCTGTAGGCTTTTAGACCATGGGGGATAAAGAACAGCGTAACAAGTGTCATCTGTGTGTGAATGGGGGTGTGTCTGTATTTGTGTGCACAATTGTGTGTGTGTTTATAGTGGTGTGTGTGTGTGTAGATGCATGTGATGTAGGAAGACAGAGTCCTATATGGTCTTTATTCTCTGTCCTGCATCTTTGGGCTTGCAGAATACCGAGGAGACTCCAGCATCTTTTAGAAAAACTCGTCATTACTTAAGAAGGGAAAAACTAGACATTTTTAGTGATAAGTGTCAGCTAATCATTTCGAAATTTCAAATTTAATTTCTGGAGAAAGACTGAGCTGAAATCTGGCAATCTTATTCTTTGGTTGTTATTGTTTTATTATCAGAGACCAATAACTTGAAATAGAGACCAGTCAAACCTTTGATTAAATATTTTGTTATACACTGATACCTCTTTCTCCGAGCCCTTTATAAATTAACCTTGCCTTTACTCATTAAATTTGTAGGGGACTGCTAGTTTTGATGAATGAATGAGTTGTGTAGAATTTATACTCTAGAAATGAGAATGGGGCCTGAGAACCTCCGGCCCTTGGGAACCCAGATGACCTTCTTGTAGGACTTAAGTCACACAAGCTTTTTCACGTTTCTTAAAGCATGGAAGAGAGAACAAGTTCTCATGAGAAACTTCTTTGTGTCAGGTGCTTTCACATGTGTTACTTTATTTAATCCACTCAGTGACTTGCCAAAGGAAATGTCATGGAGAAACTTGAGCCCCGCAAAAGTAAAGTAATTGAACTAAAGACCTTTAATGAGTAAGTGGCAAAGCTGGGATTTGAATCCAGGCGTTTCCGCTCTTGTTCTCTTCTCTCGACGCCACTGATGGCCGATTGTGCCCTCACTTTGGGGCTGAAGGGTTACTGGCAGTGCCAGTCCACACAGAATAGGGGTGTGTGTGCCAGAGTGTGGGGAAGAAGGGAAGTGGGTGATCATGGGACTAAATCGCTGTGCGGTCACTTCGGAGAGCCACCAGGCACTATAAACCTCTCTAGTAATAAAATACTTGAAGCTACAGGGAAATAGTAAGAATACGATACAAGAATATTTCTGCTAGAAAATAATAAGAACAAGTAGACATATATTATAAATGGTGAAAATAAGGCTCCAGGAGATTTCAGAAATAATCTGTTGAAGACCATACTTTGGAACAGAGCTATGTTTTTTAGACCGGGCTTGTAGCTTCGAACCAAACGGCTGAGTGTTCTGTCCCTTCTGCCACACAGCCAGGCAGCGCCGCAATGACCAGCTGGAGGTCTGAAAGCTCGTTTGGGTCCCGGGTCCCATATAGCCAGTTTATGTCTCTGGACCATCATTTTATTAATCTTCTAACATGGTTTTGTCATTTCTCTTTTATTCCTGAGAGCGAACCCATGAGAAAAAATTGAATAATAAAGTAAAATCTCATTATAAAATGCCTCAGTGGTCCACATAATGGGTTCTATTTTTAGGACAAATTTTTTTTTTCTCTATGCAGCGAAGTACCCATTACCCAAGTCTTAGACAAAGTCTGTTGTAAGTAGGTCTTATCTTCATACTCTAAACCATGTATAATAATGGAATTTTGTTCTCTGTATAGATTTGTTTTTTAGCTTTTCAGAAGAGAGCTGTTGCTATTCGTGTTACCTTATGTACTAACTTTAAAAATACTGTATAGTTAAATTTCAAGTGAAAGAAAAGCTATCAGTTTGCTCCTTCCCACTCCCCCTGGTTCTCATGATCTATTAAACGTGAAATACACTCATAGATTTAACCTGACATCTTAATTCATGGTAGCTCATATCAAGTTGCATCCCCAATTAGCCTGATGACAAGCCACTTTTTATGACTGTTTCAAGCATTTTTAAAATTTCCTAATGAAGGTGGATGGGGTAGTGAGGAGGGGAAACTTGCACAGAAGCATGTAGGAAGTAAATTTTGCTTTCTAAGTCTCATTTAGTCTCTCTTGGAAGAGATTCATCAATATTTATTCTGCAGATGTAGGATGGATAGGAATCGGGGCCATTAACAGGCCCTTTGTCCTCCCGTAGATGGCTCTTCTTGAGGTGAATCAAACCAGACAAATAGAAATGCATTTCTTCTTGTACCTAAATGATATTTAGGTGAAAACTTCGCCTAAAACATTGAGGTGAAATCCAGGGTCACTCACTAGCTCAAATTCAGCAGCTGTGGAATATGTTTTCAGTAAGATGATCGTTCACTGAAATCCAGCAAAGGAAAGTACACAGTCCCTTGAGAAGATGCATCCACCTCCAGAGAAAGCTCACCTGCTTGAATCCTCACAGACTAGAGAAGCAGCACTGTGCATGGGGCGTTAGGCCTGCTTTAAATCATCCTGGGCACTTGACCTGGCACAGGTGATGGGGGCATAATAAAGGGTCGATTGTGCCACAGCAAGGCTGAGAGTAGATCACACAGTGGTCCTGTAGGGGATGCTTTACAACTTGCTCTACAGGTATAACATGGGGCGTGTTGACTCGTTGCCCCTGTGTAATTCAGCGCACCATCATTTCTTTATTATTTAGTTGTAGAGTTGGAAGTCAATCAGCACCCTCTATTTTCATCCCATCATTCTGCTTAAATCTAAACCTGACTCCTCCTGTAATAAGCTCCTTTCCCCTGTTTCTTCTCCTGAAAGATATTCCTCCTATCTAACTAAAATCCTTCCAATTAGATTTTAATACTACTTCCTAGGTTAATATTGCAGTGAGAATCAATTGAAAACCCATATATGCTTATAGCCTGTGTGACTCTGTTTGTTTTTTTCTTCTCTCCATACTTTGCAGATATTCTGAACGAGCTGTTGTTTAATTTGGTGGCTGTGTGATTTTTACCTATGTTAATCAAAATGTTGCCTTTTTCAAGTGGCAGGACAGCATTGCAAATGAGTCGAGACCTTTCTGTTCAACTTCCCCGGCCAGATCAGAATGTGGCAAGAAGTCGAAGCAAGACTTATCCTAAGAGAATAGCACAAACACAGCCTGCTGGTAAGTCATCAGTGTAAACTTGTGTTTCCTTTTAGGCTGGCTGTATAGGATATGCTCAGGTGGTGACTAT